CACTATATAAGCAAGCTGGGCATGATTGACATCTATGCTCAGCTTGAGGGGGAGTGTAAAGAGACTGGGCCGAATGGGCCCTAACAGCTTCTCTTTTAATATCTTTTATTTTATGTTGATGGGCCACACTTAATGAGCCTATTATTTTTAGATCTTAATAAAATAGGGTTAGAGGAGAATGGAGAATTATTCGACTCCTTCTCTCTTACCTCTTCTCTTCGCCATCTTCTTCTCTTATACAGTTATTCAGACATGTTTTATTCTGCTAATCACTGAATTTAAACTTGATATTAGAGGACTGATTTGCATCTGAAGGATAGGCCTCAACAACTAAATTCTAGGTTTAAATTAAATCAGCACCATCTTCAACCTTCTTTACTTGTGGAGATGATAATGTAGCACAGGACACGATTTAGGAAACTCATTAGTGGAGAATAACTCACCAAAATTAAATATTCTGACTGCAATCAACATTTGCTGCTTTTACTCAGCACTAGGGAAATTGGAGGTCAACCAGGAAAATCTGTCTCCAAATTCTAGAGTTGATCTGGTTGACCTCCAACCTGTCTCCAAATTCTAGAGTTTTAATGGGCCACCATAGGAGTTTGTTCTAATGTTGTTAACCAGATAAATCAGAAAAGAAGTGATGTAAATAAAAATTAATTTTACATCCTTATTTCCTTTATAGTTTATACAGTTAACAAGATTATATTGTATCAATAGGGAAAAAGAATAAGAAAGATGAAATAAACCGGCAATAAATATGTCTTTATGTAAAGAGAAAGGAGACAAAGAGAAGAAAGAAGAGAAAGCTCAGACGGGAGAAGAAGAAGAAGAAGAAGGTGGGAATAAGAGGGAGAATGAGAGGAACAGAAAACTTTTAGAGGATAAATCAAAGAGCTTGGAATTAATTGTAGCTTCTGTGCATAAACTGGTTAAAGATTGGGTGTAAGCCACTTAGGGTTGTCAACGGGTTGGGTCTGGGTCAAAACCAGCTGGAACCGGAACTGACCCAACATGAAACATTGAGGACCCGGAACCGGAACCAGACCCAATAGGGTCTGTAATTTTTGGACCCGGAACTGAACCAATCAGTTCTCAGGACAATCGGGTCTGACCTGACAGACCTGATTATAATAAATAAAAATAAATCTCTCTCTCTCTCTCTACATATATATATGTAGAGAGAGAGAGAGACCGGTTCCAAACTGATAGTAATCAGGACCCGAAACCGACCTCTCGTTTCCAGTTCCCAGAACCAGAACCAGCCCAATCGTTCAGGTCCAGCAGGTCGGACCCGACCCATTGACAGCCCTAAAGCCACTCCAGATTTTGGCCATGTCAACAGATCTGATTTGCTAGAAAAATTTTGGAGTAGCCTTGAATTAGAACCGTGCAATGTAGAGGCATTTTCAGTTTGATTAGTTGTATTTGATATGTATGGATGTGTCATCTTGACAACCAATCAATCTGTAATGTTTAATGTTTATTTCTCTATTTTAATGAAAGCTTTTTATTTATTCTTCAAAAAAAGAAGAGAGCTAATTGATCCTCTCTGCAGTCCCCTGAACACCTTTATTAAAGTTGATTGTAATTCAGGTACAATTACAAGGGTGCCCTCGGTGGGGCTGCTAGCTCAATAAAGATAATAAAAGGGGAATAAAAACTGGTCCATAACTAAGGCCCACTAAAAACATAACACATTATTAACAGCACAAATAAAATAAAAATAGTAAGGCCCATTTGGCCCATCATCTCTACAAAGAAAACTAAATGTCTTGTCTCCACATCCTTCAATAATAAATATTGAAGGATATTTTATATACTTAACATGGAAAGATATTGTGCAAGATATAAGATGGACATACCAGGGAAAATGCGAGACCATGATATGGAAAAACGATAGGCATCAAATCCCAACTTAGCCATAAGCTCAATATCTTCCTATTTTTTTTAAGACACAAAAAAGTGGGCAGATCAGAAAGGATTATATAGACAAAAGTTATCAAGCATAAAATCAATGAGAACCAAAGGAACATAATTGCTATTATTGAAAAGCCAACAACACCATATTAATATAAATGCATCATTTCTGGTCCCCCCCCCCTCCAAAAGTTAGTAAAATCAATGAGAAGTTGAGAACCATATTTGAACACCCTAATATATAAGCCAACAACACCATATTTATATAAATGCATCATTTCTGGTCCCCCCCCCCTCCAGAAGTTAGTAAAATGTATATAATTTCTAAATACAAGAAAACTTGAATTAGGTTTCTGAGAAGTGTTTGTTGAATTGGCCGATTTGTGTCTAGTTTATTTTCTTTTAAATTAAGAAGTTGTTGGGCCTTGGGCCCATTAGTTTTTATTTTTAAAAGAGTTGTAACTATTTGGTTTGAGTTGCCGCCCTACTAAGGGCATCGTTGTAATATCTCATATTTAAGTTAAATATAAATAGAATGAGGGGCTGGCGGCTAGGGTTATGATACACAATCCTAGTTGACCTTCTTCTCCTTTTCTTCTTCTTTCTCTTCCTATTGCTGAAATCTACAACTTTCCCCTCTTCCTTTCACAAGAAGCTTGACCGAATCGGCAGACAGTGGTTTCTACTTAGTATCAAAGCAGGTTGAAGGTT